TTCCTCTCAAAAGTATTTAACTAATTTGTATTTGTTTTTTTTCATCATTTAAAGTAAAATTATAATTAAAATATTTAATAAATAATTTCAGAAATATATCCCCTATATATTAATAGAGAAATAATTAAAAAAAAAACCTTACCATCATGAGTTATTAACAAGATTGACACGCTGATGTGTCGCTCTCACAATGATTTGACTTCTATTTAGATAATTACCCAAGATTTATTAGACTATTTACAGAATTCGTCATTAGTCTCATACATCCATATATCCCATTAATAATTAAAAACATACACTTTTTGTTTATCTTATATTACTATATTTTTATATTTATATTTTTCTTTATATACATTTATATAAATTTTTTTAGCGGATGGGTAAACAATCTTTTTATTTATATTTATATTTACGTTTATATTTAAATGATAAAATATATACATTTGGTTCAAGAATCTCGAATTCAAAACTATAAAATCTTTACATCTTTCATAAATTTTTTACTTAAATAAATAAGATAATCTCCTTTCTATATATGTTACGAATACTTAAAATCCTATTTTTAGGAGGAGTTCAAACTTTTCGAAAAAAAACATTATAACCACATTTGTATATAAACAAAAATCTGGCCACATTATAACCGTTTCGTAAATAATCCATTCATAATCTAAGAATCTTAGATTTGGAATACTACAAAATCTTAGCTTGGAAACTATCAAATCTCATTTTTGCTAAATTTTGGATTTCTTATACTTATTAAAAAAAAAAAAATTCTTTTTATACTACAAAATCTCGAAATCTTTAAAACATACGGAAAGACATATTGCCATAAATGGTAATATTTCGTAAATACTTTTTATCACGTTGAAGCTTTATTCAAAGTTCAAATATTTCACGGGTAAAACATATTCTTATATGAAATAGTCCCAAATTTGAATAATAAAAAAAAAAAATTGTGTGTTAAAAAAAAAAAAAAAAAAAAAAAAAAATTGTAACATGTTTCGTTTTACACAAACGAATCTTGGATCCCGAATAATAATTTTAATCATAATAATTTTACTTGAATCACTTCATCCCGCACATCGTGCGAGTTGTTATCTAATAAAGCGTTATTATAAGATGACATGAAACACGATGTTAGGGTGTTTTTCGACGGCTCTTTCATTTGACGCTCAAGTCATAAAACAGAAAAATAACGGGCAAGGACCACAAGTTGAGTTATGGAGAGATGTGAAAATAGTATAGGAGAACAGAATATGAGGCCGAACAAGAGTGGTGCTGGTGCACAATGTTTCTAGTGATTTGAGAGTCACTTTGAGGTGTGGTGCTATTAGACTATCAATCTGCATTTTGTTATCACTCACAAAATTTTGTTTTATTTATGGTGAGGTGCAAAACGATACAATATTTTTTCATGCTCATATGAATTGAACTTAGGCCGCACACTAAACCAAAAATAGGGCGATTTCAAATGCGGTTCACATTCTCTTTTTTTGTTTAATTTTTTTAAAAGACAATTGTATGTGTTAGTAATATTAGTTAACAATTCTAACGGAAAAAGAATTATTTAAGGTATTAAAGAAACTTGTGTCACCCGTCATGCACTAACCACATTCTATTAGAGGGTCCATAAGAAGCCCAAGAAGTGTCTCATGAGAAATCCACTAGCCCATGTAATTAGGGTTCTTTAGCAAGATAGTTTACTATATAAGTTGTGTAATAAACATCATTGTCTCTAACTTTGGGAGTTGCCATTTGGAGCAACTCTCTTCTTCTCATCTTATGAAATATCAAATCTACAATCATTTTCTCTTGGTGACAATAAAGCTCCTCAATGAGCTATTGCATTTTCAGTTTTAGATTTCTATGTTAATAAGCTCTCTAAGAGCATTAATCTCATTGTCTTGAGTTTGTCAACATGGTATCAGAGCCAAACGGTTCTTTGGGTTTTTATTCTCACTAGCTTCTAGCCTTCCATCAAAAATCTTTTCCTCACATGTCTGAATTCGCTTGGTCTATAACTTCCTATACCATCGATTGATACAAGAGACCAAATCAAGTAGTGAGAAGACTTTGCTTTTTTCTCTGATAAAAGCTACGGTGAGTGAGAGATTTCACATCTAAAGAGTCGGGTTTTCAAAGACTTTCAAAGTGGAGCGTGACTTGTTTTCGAGAAATGGTTTGGTGAAGGGATATAGCTTTGAAGATCTCCAAAGAGCTTAGGGCAGAACCAAACCATGGTATTTAAGGTAACGTTTTTGTTCCTCTTTGAGAAAGAACACGGAATGTTGATTTGTCCTAGCTTGAGAAGGATAGTTGCTGGTTTAGATCTCTAGGGCCGGAATTATGAAGCTAGAATACATTAGGACTGATTTGGGTTTGATAAGGATGCATTTAAGGAAGCAAGTCTCAGTTCATTTTTAAGGCAAATACAAGGATTATTTTAGCGCACACAAGCTGTTCGATGAAATGCCAATGAGAAAGCTGAAAGATGGAATGTTAAACAATCTGTTTTTACAAGTTAGCATAGTGTTATGGCTGTTGAATAAGAAGCTGAGAGTTGGTCGTGTGTCATTAGATGTGGAAGAGGACTCACCTTCATTATAAGACAGCTTAGGGGAGTTAAACGAGGTAAAGAAAACCCGGACTCTTCGTGAGATAAATAGGCTACAAAGATAGACCTGAAAAGATCTCACACTAATGACTGATTTTATGGTGGAGTGAGACTATTTAATACATCAAACGAACTTGCTTCGAGCTCTCTTCCCTTTCACAAACCCCTGCACTTATGCTTGGAAAAATGAAGCTGGCTAAGCACATGTCTCTTTGCGAATAATTCTTCATATTTGCTGGGTTCAAGACAAGATGGAGACTGATTCTAGAAGATAAGAGTGTGATTGAGACAATGTGCATACATGGACTGAAAATCAAGCTCCTCCATCAATTCCGGTAATGTGTCTAAACTTTCTTCTTATGCTGAACAAGAGACAATGTTGCTGGTTGGTTTAGGCTTATAGGTTTGGAATCAAGAAGCTAGAATGAAATAGGCTGTTATGGTAGAAGTTGGACAGAATTTCCAAAGGAAAAAGGAGAAGCCAAGATAAGGTTACAAAACAGTCACTTAAAGTAGTTAAGAGTGATTTTGTTTTAGAATAGAATGGGAGCACCTCTGAGAGAGTGGAAAACTCTACAAGTGTTGACCCAAATCTGGAAATTTGGGAATACCTCTGAGAGAGCACTCACAGCTCTACAAGTATCAACTCAAAATTGAGAGTAAATTGGTCAAAATACCTCTGAGAGAGTTTTTTTCAAGACTCTACAAGTATAGACCTCCTATGGCTTTGAAGATCAGATGAAGAGTATGTCTCTCCAATGAAGTTCTTCTACATCTCCTTATGATCTACTAATGTTTATGTCCAGTCTACTCAAGCCTAAGACTCGCTAAAGCTCTAATGTCGATCTTCTTTTGAGCATACAAACTTAGCATCGTTGTTTTAACACCGCTGCTAAGTTTGCGGGGGAGTATTAGAGGGTCCATAAGAAGCCCAAGAAGTGTCTCATGAGAAATCCACTAGCCCATGTAATTAGGGTTCTTTAGCAAGATAGTTTACTATATAAGTTGTGTAATGAACATCATTGTCTCTAACTTTGGGAGTTGCCATTTGGAGCAACTCTCTTCTTCTCATCTTATGAAATATCAAATCTACAATCATTTTCTCTTGGTGACAAACTAAAGCTCTTTCCTTTCTTTTAGTTTGCATTTCAATAAAGGTCCTCAATGAGCTATTGCATTTTCAGTTTTAGATTTCTATGTTAATAAGCTCTCTAAGAGCATTAATCTCATTGTCTTGAGTTTGTCAACACATTCATCCCACTTATACAATTCGATCAGCTTAATTCATGTAATCCCTAGGATCGGGCAGGCTAAACCAAGACTTCGGGCTACCAACTTTGTTTTTTAAAAGAGCCACATAATGTTTTTATACCTAATAGATTTTAGACCATAAGCTTCTAGTTAATAATTTTCAATTAAAAATAATAATGGTTCGTGTCACGTAACTATATCTATGTACGGGCCACATTTTTATTTTATTTTTCCTTCTTCTTTTTATATATATGTCACTTTACTTTTCTTTTCTTTATTTTGTTGTATGTTTTAATTTGATTATTTTTGATGTTGTTAGTTAAAAGATTAGCTACCACAAACTATATAAAAGGGACAACTTTCTTTTTGGACTATCATTTTTATTGGATCTTAATTCTTATTCGCCGTCACCATTCATAGTTTCATACTCTTCGCGTCTGTATACGAAGGATACGACCTATCTCTTACCTTTTAATCTATGTTCACTTAAAAATAAACTTGTGGAATTGTTGGTTTGTTGTGCATCATAATGGATTTGGAAATCTTTGATGAACTCATTGCTTTATAAAATCCAAACAAGTGGATTTGAACATTAATCAACTGGATTATTGTAAATCAACCAAATGGATTTCTAATTTAGTATTATATATATATATATATATATATATTATGACGAACTATAGATAACATGAGAAAAAAAAATACAAGTTCACTTGTCATCTATAGTTCGTCATAATGTATTGAATATCTCCACATACTAGTTGTTGCGATTGTTGCTCCCAACTGATTAACAGGTTTTCTCTGCTGACATCTTGGGTTGCAAAAAGTTCTTCATCATTGTTATTAACCTTTTCAACATTTTCTTTTTAAGTAACATTTCTCAATCATACATGGTGATGGTTAAACAAACAATTCTTTCTTTTACCAATATTTTTAGATTAGAATCTTGACCAAAAAAGAAAAATGAAACGTATGGGAAAAGGCCAACTATGGCTGTTGCGATCTTTCTTCTTCATTATATGTTTGTTTAAGTTGCATCAATAATCTTTTATTACTATCTGATCTCCCAACTATGGCTCCTGCGACCTTCCTTCTACATTATATATTAGTGCGCCGGTCAAATAAATCGTTATTCTCTTACCAACAGCAACAACAACGATGTCTCTCCTTCTCCCCACCAATTTACTACAATGCCGTTCTTCCTCCCTCCTTCTACTCTCCCAGTCTCCCTCCACCACCGCCTTTTCCGCCATCGCACCTCGCCGGATATGCCTGAGATTGGTCACTTCTTGCGTGGCATATGATCAAAGCTCTGCCGTAAACGGTTCTGCTCCGAAAGCCGTTGTCGTAGAGCGAGACCAGATTCGCCTTGGTCTTGTTAGCAAGGGACGCATGGCCACCAATTCGCTCAATCTTCTCAAGGTTATAATACGATTATTATCCCGTTAATGTAACCTTTCATGTTTAAGTACTTAGCATGTTACACGGGATAATTTATCTTTCTTTTTTTGTCCACGGCTTATTATTAATTAAGACACTTTAGAAATCCAAACCGAAGATACATAGTCTACAAATTAGAGTGTCATAATCTAGCACTACGTGTTAAAAGTACTCGGATAATTTATCTTTCGTTTTCTACTTAGTTCAAATCCTCCTTTAGTTAGAGATGATTACATTTTTGTAATTTATTTCGAAAGAGATTAGATGATAACACACCCACAATAATTATCGGACAAATATGTAATAATTTTTCATAAATTTATAAATATAATTAAATTATTGAAAAATTAAAAATGTAGATAAAGTTAGTCTACTACATATTAATTTTTTGGTTTGTTTTTTATCTTCTAAAATCAATAAATTAACCATATAAATATGTATAAGTTGTATTTTTATAGTTTAGTTTAAACCCCCTCTCATAACTTAAGCAAAAAATAAGATTTTCAATATAAATAGAATCAAACTTAAGGTTTTTTTTTTTTAAAATACTTTCCTTTAATATATAGTAGGTTACTCATTTAGTTGTATGTTTTGGTGTTAGTGATGCTTTTACAATATGCTCGATCTTATGTTTTTTTTTTTTTTTTGATTTCTAAACTCCAGTATGTATTGAACTCAAAATTAATTGGTAATATAGGAGTTATGAGCAATGAGTTGCTAAAGCTTCATTTGATACCTTACTTTGGAATGTTGTTTTCTTTTGCTATGAATCTTAAAATCATTAGAAATGAAATGAAAGATATTACAGATCCAATACCTATAATAGAGTATTCTTGGCAAAAAAATATAAAAACAAGATTACAATAGATTTTGGGTAAGAAAGAGGTTATCGAATCCAAAAGCGCATTAGATTTACTCTGAAATCTTGTTCCTCTCACTTTGAGTGAACTAAGCATAGTAAAATTGTAATCTCATACCTCGTTATTTCTTCTATTAAGGACTGTCAACTGTTTGTGAAACAAGTCAATCCTAGGCAATATGTTGCACAAATTCCCCAGGTATGCATTCGAAGAACTACATTTTTTTTTCTTTGAGACTTGTATTGGTAAATTTTTCATGTCCTCCAGTTACCAAACACTAAAGTCTGTTTTCAACGGCCAAAAGACATCGTCACGAAGTTACTCTCAGGAGACTTGGATCTAGGTATCGTTGGTCTTGACAAACTTCGTGAATATGGTCAGGTAAGTGGCAATCATAATACTTCTCTCTTGAAGAGCTTTGATATCATTATGCGCATTGTGAAGATAAAAAAAAACAGTTGACTTTCATTCTCTATTCGATTCTTCGATATGGGTTAGCCATAATATTGCGTTACCCTATAGGACTTAGAATATAACGTTTTCATTGTGATTTTCTGAATTGTGTCTAGATGGCCTAGTTTGCATCAAAACTTAGATGTTTGAGTTTTTTTAATAGGAAAATGAAGATCTTATCATTGTCCATGAAGCTCTAAACTTCGGAGGCTACCATTTGTCCATTGCGGTATATATGCTCTAATCTATTTTGTTCGGGGTCCTCATATCATTATCTCGAATGATTTTCTGATAGCATCTCATATGTTCTCAGATACCCAACTATGGAATTTTTGAGAATATAAAGTCTCTGAAGGAGCTAGCACAAATGCCTCAATGGAGTGAGGAGAGACCCTTACGCGTTGCTACTGGCTTCACTTATGTATGATGAGTAACAGATTCCCATTTGGTTAGCTGTTGTCGTTTAATTTATCATAAAATACATAATTTAGCTTCTCAATACAACATTTGGGAATTATTTAACTGGTTTTTGCAGCTTGGCCCCAAATTTATGGAAGAAAACGGCATAAAGCATGTGACGTTTTCAACTGCATCCGGAGCCCTGGAGGCAGCCCCGGCGGTAAGATTACACTATTTTTACATCTAAGCGATATGATCTTTCTTCAAAACTAGGCTAAACTATAAAGATAGAAAACATTTTTATTTTTATCAATCAAAATATATATGTACACTTTTATTGCTTTTATGGCTTAGAATTACGTATAGAGAAAAGAGTCGTCTATATTTTACTGTTTTGATCATCAACATCACTCTTAACCAAAAACGAGGGAATCCACAGTTTTCATTAAGATATGGAGGATAATGTTATTAGCTTGTAGTGGATCTTGCTTTCATATCTCACTGTTAGGATGCATGTGGCGTGGGCCGCGTGGCAGAGACGAGGGATCTTTCTTTTGTGCAGTTTTTGTTGACACATATGTACTTGGTAATTAGATGGGAATAGCTGACGTCGTTCTGGACCTTGTGAGTAGTGGAACAACACTCAAAGAGAACAACTTAAAAGAGATTGAAGGAGGTGTTGTGCTGCAATGTAAGGTGATGTGTAGTTCTTAAAGCTGCTTAGAATCTGTTGACGATCAATATTATTCTTGAACATTTCTTTTAAACTTTTAGGCTGTACTCGTGGCAAGCAGAAGAGCATTGACCAAGAGAAAAGAGGCACTAAATACAGTACAAGAAATTCTCGAGAGATTGGAGGCCCATCTGAAGGCGGATAGCCAATTCACTGTATGCACTTTCCTTATTCACCTCTTTATTTCTTTCTCTAACATTTATGTTTCAGGTTATTGCAAACTTCAGAGGAAGTAGTGCTGAGGAAGTGGCTGACCGTGTGTTGAGCCAACCATCATTGTCAGGATGGCAGGTAAAGTTTCGGAATGGTTCTTAAGCCCTAGCTTATTATTCAAAATCAAGATCACCTTATCTTGACGTAGTCGCTGAATGATTTAAGAAGTAACTCAACGATTCAACTAGAACTTGAAAGATTAAAGAACGACTTTTCTTTATTGATTTAGAACCTTCTCAAAACTAAATATCTCTCAAGTCTTAGATCTTTTGGAACAACTCTCCAAAAGCTTATAATCTCTGCTTTAGTCTTATGGAACAACTCTCCAAAGCCTTTTATTTATATAGAACTTAGCTACTCCTAATTGTATTATAAAAAGGAAACCTTACAAAAACTTATCCTACTTGACTTTCATTTGTATTTCCTTTTTTCTACCTTTTCTAGCATCTTCTACAAAGAGATTACTTCTTCTTCAAGTAATAGAATTATCCAACAATTATTAGTTCTTGCTGAATGTTTATGGCTTCTCTAATAATGAGCAGGGACCAACAATAAGCCCAGTTTATTGTAGACGAGGTGGAAAAATATCAATTGACTACTATGCAATCGTGATTTGTGTCCCAAAAAAGACTTTATACGACTCTGTGAAGCACCTGAGAGCGGTTAGTAATCCATGCGGTTTCTTTTACTGTAATCTTACTTCCACCCCGACCTTTAAATGTTGATGCACTAGTCATGGATTAATAAATAAGCTGCTTCAAAATCATGTATACTTTCTCATAAATCCGCGTTTATTGTTACCTCTCTTGGTTCTCTAGTCATGCATGTTCATAAATGTTATTGCAGGTCGGAGGCAGTGGGGTATTAGTTTCACCTTTGACCTACATTTTTGATGAGGATACTCCAAGATGGGGTCAGTTCCTGAGGAACCTCGGGATTTAAATGTTTTGGTAAGGACGATACATATGTTGAACATGTTGTAAGAAGACTCTTTAATGTAAATCTATGAGTTTTGTTACCTTTGTGTCAACTTTCTATTTCTGTCTTCTTTTTTTGTTTTTTTTCCTTTTATTCTGCTGCTGTTGTAATAAGAAAACACCCAACAAGAGGTTAAACTAATAAGAGATTTGATTAGAAACTCTATTTGGGTTTCTTGAAGAAGAAAAAAAGAACAACTTAAGGAAACAAAAGAAACAACAATTTTTTTCCAGAGCGAAGGAAAATGATTTCAAAATGTATTATTTAAATTTCCTATTTGTATACAGTGCAATAATTTAAGTCTCTTGGAAAGTTGGCCCTTGTCGCAATTGGTTTATTAAATCCCCCTACCCTTTACACATGATTAGCCATTTTCTATTACTTATAATGTGTGTTTCATGCTTAATTTGCAGGTGTCATAAGGCTTTCCGCTCCCTCGTACTCTTTGTCTCTATACTACGGATACGGTCTATCTCTTAATTTGCAGGTGTCATGTTTAAAAAGGAATATATGGTGGAGATTATTGTATGGATTTGAATATCTTTGATGAACTCATTCATTAATTTATAGAATCCAAACAAGTGATTTTGAAAATTAACCAAGTGGATTATTGTAAATCAAGCAAATGGATTCACAATAATTTTGTCTTATAATAAAAACTAAAAAAAAAAAAGATGAAACATACAAGAACAAAACAAAAAAGACAAATGTTTTTTATTCCCTTGTCATTTATTACTCCCTTTGTTTACAAATAAGGTTGTGGTACATATATTAAGAAACAGATACATTTTATGTTTTACTCTTTTTAATATACTTTACAAAATATTTTTACTGATCAATACATTAAATCAGTGTAGATAAAATAAAATTATTACTTTCATCAAACATCTGTATTAAAAATGTAAAATAATATTTATTTTAAACAAAATTTTAGGTTGTAAAACGACACTTAATTCAAAACAAAGATAGTATTAGTTAAAACGTATTGAATATCTCGACATACTAGTTGTGTTGCAATTGTTGCTCCCAACTGATTAACACGTTTTCTCTGTTGATATCTTGGTTTGCAAAAAAGTTTTTCATCATTTTTATTAACCTTTTCAATATTTTCTTTTTAAGTAACATTTCTCAATCATACATGGCGAATATCATGACAAAAGAAAAATGAAACGTATGGGAAAAGGCTAACTATGGCTGTTGCGATCTTTCTCTTCATTATATGTTTGTTTAAGTTGCATCAATAATCTTTAATTACTATTTGACCTTCCTTCTACATTATATATATGTACGCATCCTTACACTCTCACCAACAGCCACAACAACAATGTCTCTCCTTCTCCCCGCCAACTTACAACAATGCCCTTCTTCCTCCATCCCTCTCGTCTCCCTATACTGCTTCTCCCCGTCTCCCTCTCCTCTCCTTCTCCGTCATCGCACGTAACCGGAGATGACTGAGATTGGTCACTTCCTGCGTCTCCTACGATCAAAGCTCTGTCATAAACGGTTCTGCTCACAGTTGACTTTCATTCTGTTATTTGATTATTCGATATGGGTAAGCCATAATGTTGTGTTAGCCTATATATAGACACTGAATATAGAGTTTTCCATGTAATTCTTTGAATTGTGTCTAGATGGCCTGGTTTGCACAATTTAGATGTGTGAGTTTTCTTTATAGGAAAATGAAGATCTTATCGTTGTCCATGAAGCTCTAAACTTTGGAGATTACCATTTTTCCATTGTGGTACGTAAGCTCTAATCTATTATGGTCTTAATTTCTTCAACACTAGGCTAAACCATAAAGATAGAAAACTAACACTTTATTTTTTTCAACCAAAATATACATTAGATCTGCATGGTTGCTTTCCTTACACCTTTGTTGTTATTCTAGGCTGAACGTACCTAGAATTGCTTATATGTTGTGCACAAATTTGTATTTTAAAGTTTTGATCATCAATAACACTTTCAACCAAAATAAGAAAGAATCTATAGTGTCTTGCTTGTGGAGGATAATGTCGTTAGCTTATAGTGTCTTTCTTGCATATCTCACTGTTAGGCTGTGATGTGCAAGTTTTTTTTATCCGAGCAAGCTGCATGAGCCAGGGAACTTAATAATATATGCCATTCTTTTGTGCAGGTTTTTGTTGACACATATATTCTTGTTAATTGGATTGGGATAGTTGATGTCGTTTTGGACCTTCTGAGTAGTAGGAGTGTAGGACAATACTCAAAGAGGACAACTTAATAGATATTAAAAGGAGGGTCGCTTAGAATCTGTTGGTGACCATTATTCTTGAATACTTTTTTTTTTTCTTTCATGTTGTACTCGTGGCAAGCAGAAGATCATTGACCGAGAGAAAGCGAGCAACATGAGATTCTCAAGAGATAGGAGGCCCAGCTGAAGGCCCAGCTCTTGGTTATGATGATTTTTCTTATTCTTAATTTTTGCATTCTTTTCTAATGATATTTTCATTTCTGGTTGTTGCAAACATGAGAGTAAAAAGTGCCGAGGGAGTGGAAGATTGAGTGTTGAGCAAGCCATCATTGTTAGGATGGCATCGTAGTCAACCGATACTTTTCGGTCTCGTGTGCAGTAAACATGTTATTGTTGGTCCCTGCCCAATATTAGAGAAGTCATAAACATTCAACATACATGTTCTAAAAAGATAAGCCCTAAGAATCATACAAAACATTACATGCCATTCTGACAATGATGGTTGGCTCAACACACGTTCAACCACTTCCTTAGCACTTTTGCAACAACATGAAATAAAATTATTAGAGAGAAGAAAGCAAAATGGATGAAAAAGGAAAAAATAATCATATGAACCAAGTGCATACAGTGATTTGACCATCCGCCTTCAGATGGGGCACCAATCTCTTGAGAATCTCTTGTACTGTGTTTAGTGCCCCTTTTCTCTCGGTCAATGCTCTTCCACCTGCCACAAGTAATGCCTGAGAGTTAAAGGGAAGTGTTCAAGAATAATGGTATCACCAACATATTATATAAGCAAATAACTTCGGGTTCCAAGAACTACATCACCTTACATTGCAACACAATCTCTCTTTCAATTTCTTTTTCTTTTTGGGTGTTGTCTCACTTGACATGATTTGAACCTGTGACATTTTGTACCCAAAACAAACGCACTACCAAGCTGTCCTACATCCCTTTCAATAGGTTCAGAGTGTCATTGTAGAGAATTCATGTCTTGTTTTCCACATCCTTCTTCTTTTTTATTGGTATATCAAATTCATTTCTTCTTTTTTTCTCACATTAGATAACAAAGAGATAATTCAAAAATTTACTTGTTTTTTACAATATTTCTCTCAGTCTCAATTTTACATAAATAGGCGTTTACGTTTTCAAATGGAATCTAGAAGATCGTTCTACTCAGACTACTAGAAAAACCAAACTCAAAACTTCAAAACTAAATTGTAAAACATAGACTCACGCGTAGAGAAAGATATCACCTAATGAAAAACATCTTTCTTTTTACGCTCTTACTATACATTAGCTTTTTGGATAAAGCTTTTCTCTTCGATGTTGAAAGTAACATGAAAAAGTGTGGTGCGGTGCTGTTGAACTGTTCGATCTACACTGTAATAGTTTACAAAAAAAATTTCATTTGTGGTACAGTAAAGAATAATACATTACATTTAAAATTTTCTCTTGTCATATTTTTGTGAACCACATTTGGACTGTACACACTATATATACCAAACTTCAAAATATGACGGTTCAACTGTGTTTCATTTTAAAAAAAATAATTAGAAGTAAATTTTCAAGAATCATACTCCCTCCGTTTTCGAATAGTTGTCGTTTTAGAGAAATTTTTTTGTTTTTAATTAGTTGTCGTTTTCAGTTTTCGATGCAAAATTTATTACTTTTTTATATTTATTTTTATTATGCAACTTGATTTACTATTGGTTAAATTATGTTTAGGTAGATAATTAATGATATTTTTATATTGAAAAACTAACAACATTAATAGTTTCTTAATTTGTGTGCATATACTTAAAACGACAACTACTCAAAAACGGAGGGAGTATGAGTTAATTGCATCTATCAATACAATATTCTCAAAAAAAAAAAATAGTCATTTGGAGCATTAAAAAAAAAACAATAGTTCAAAATTTGATAACTATTTTATCCACACACAATTTATTATCTTCATTCAGTTTTTTATTCCTACTTCCTACCCCATCTATCACACTTATCTCGCTTATACCGTCCAATCCACAACCCTACTTGTCTATCACTATCTTTTTCTTAGTTTTTTATTCATTCGTCTTTATTTTTTCACGTTTTCGAAAATAATTTCTATAAAAAAATTTAAAGTCACGACAAAAAGAAATATGAAAAGCATGGATCAGTGTCTCTCATGTCCTATGTTGGCTGCTGTGAATTTTCTTCTTCATTATATAATTCCTTCTCCGGTTTAAAGAAAACCCTTACACTCTCACAAAAAAACATTTTTAGTTTTGTTTCTCAGTCTACCTTATTAGTCTATGAATGTAGGAGTTAATCTTTGGATCGAGTTTATTGTTTTACCTAACTACTAGATGTTAACCCGCGGTACACCGCGGGCATAAATATTATTTGATATTTTTATTAATTATTAATTGTAATATTTTATTTGACATAATACAATTTTTATTAATTTAGATGTATAAAACTCAATATACTTGTATATATTTAAATGTATAAAACTCAATATAGTTGTATATATCAATTTCATTTTACTAAAATAGATTTTAAAAATTTCCAATAGATCAGTTACTTGTATTGAAATTATGCAATTTCCAATTTTATAAAGTTAGAGAAATAAGATATTGTATTTGATTTCATTTGAATCTATTGAGTTTAATAAAAATACAATTTATGGTATATATGAACATATTTTTGGTGGAAAAGATATAACAGTTTTAAAAGTGTGTAAATTTAGAAGATAAAGTGTTTTGGATTTAATTTATGTCATTAGTAATAGTTAGTTAGAAAAAAAAGTTTGTATAGAATACTTAAATTAATATTACTGTATTTGGTCAAAAAAAAAAAAAAAAAAAAAA